ATATAGAAAAATATACTAATTAAAATAACAGCATTTAATTGTTTTCCGAGGAGTTAAACTTTATTTAGGTATGCAGTAGTTAAATTTGAGACTACTGTAAAGCATAGGTCTCAAACTCAACTCCTAGAGGGCTGCAACTCTGCACAGTTTTGCTCCAACCCTCATCAAACACTGCTAATCTAACTAAACAAGTTGTTAAAGACTGTTAGAGACTATTAAGTTGGAGGTGGTTGGAGCTAAGGTATGCAGAGCTGTGGCCCTCCAGGAATTGAGTTTCAGACCACTGCTGTGAAATTGATGAACAATTAAATTCGGTACAATTTCTTAGGCCTGAATGCTTTTAAATCCCTCACACTGTCATAGGCCTTGACACCTTTATTATTATTATTATTATAAACTTTATTATGCAATTATAATCCAGATTCAATATTGCATATACTCGCGACATGACTGTTGTGAATGATCACATTGCGACATTGATAATGAAACAATATATTAGGCAGCCCTAATACGAGTTGAAAGTTAAAAAAAACTATTTAGTTCATATAACTATACTTTAAAAAATTATAGAAGCAAAAACCAGTGTCAATGATCAATTACAGCAAACTTCCAATCTATTAATAGACATTTTGGCTCCGAGCGGAAGTATTTGCATAAGACTAGGAGCCTCTTACAGTATGTACTAATTTGTAAAGCACTAGTTCTCTTTTAACTGATATTGTAATCCTTCTAAAGCCTTTAAGATCTTTCTTAATCTCATTACATTCTTACATGTGTTATATAGCCCTAGAGCTTAACATTTCCCTGGCTATTGGCAGCTGCTTCAACATGAACACATTTTTTGTCAAACTGGAAAGTAAATGCACAGCTGATAAGCATGGCATTTGGAAAAGAGTGTTTTCCAGTGGGTGTTGTGGTTCTCAAGCACAGATGTAGCTAATTAAATTATATGACAAAACAAACCATGGACACAAGTGAGCATGTAGTTCAACCGCAGTTTCGAGAGAAAGTTTGGATGGATGACTACAGTAACCCAAGCTTCCCTCTGGCGATGAAGCATTCCACTCCGTTTACACTTGAATCGTACAATTTCCTCCACGCAAAGCCTAACAATAACATGTAGAGCGAGACTGTGATTGATTTAATTTCTCAGAAAGACTGATAAGTTTGAACAAAAATGTGAACAGTTTGACTGGCGCCTTCACTCTGCGGTTGTGCAATTTGTTTTTAAAGAGGGCTTTTGTTTAATACGAGTGCTATTTCTACTGTGTCATTAAGTAAAGTGATACACTCTCCGCACCAGGCTCAGTTCTTCCAATTTTGAGCTAATCTTTCCATGATAAATGATGCTTTTGCCTGTGTGAGGTTTGGCACTTGGAGAGATGCTTAAGAAATCCCGTAACCATTTCTGACCCTGGTCTGAGAGTCAAGCAAACTCTTGAGTTTCGATGACTTCGTGAACACGTCAAAGCCCCAGTTGTACAGCTTCTGTTCTTTTGTCTCCAGAGCAATGGAGCCAGCAAGAATCATTTTTATCCTTCCACATCCGTGGTTCTGCCAGTGTTAGATGGAGTGAGAGAATGCATGCTATTTTTCTTCCACTTTACACTATTGTTTGACCGCCGAGCCTGTACTGACATTGAGAACCGAAATAGAACACAGCAGGAATTTGTTATTTAGCAACGGGTTTGTTGTATAGTCATCTCGCTGTTACACACTTACTATGCTATTGCGTAAATGACTAAATATGAATACCACATATCGTTAGAATGAACTTTGTGGTCATATTTGTGGCGGGTTTCTATTTTGTGCTAAGGATATTGAGCGTCATCCAATACTGTAGCCACCTGCTACTCTTTCTGTATTCGCATTTCCAAGACTCATTGACTGAGCGTAATGCATTAGTGCCTGAGGAACAGAGTTCAAATGCATGAATATGCAAAGACCAGTTTAGCCCTGAGCGGAAAATGCCACCATATGGATTATGTGATGGGAAAGCAATATTTCATTATTATTGGTATCTGCAGATGATGTTTTGGGCCAAATGTCTGGTGATGCACATCAAGATTCTTTTCTTTTTGGCTCATAGCTGAATGGACTACTGATGAGTGTGCATAGTATTAGTTCACTAATTGGGCTGCACAATATTGGAAATTGAATAATCAATATGCATTTGTTGTTTACTTTGCTTTATATCTTTTCTAGATTAAATAGCAAAAAAAAAAAAAATAATATTAGACCAAGTAACAATATCGGGTAACACTATAACTACACACTATAAATCATTAATTAAGCATTAGCAAATAGCGAATTCATTATCTGTTAAGCCTTAACATTAATAGATGTTAGTAAGCTGTTTACAACTGCAGATACAAATGCTCTATGAAAATACAGTCATTAAGCACATTATATGTGCGCTTCTATGTCAAGAATACTTTGTAGTTTTTTCATTACTAAATTAAGTATTGCATAATTTACAAACCAGTTATTTGAGAGATGTTGCAGATTTTTAAAGATTATTAAGAGTGCATAAGTTAATTATTAATAAACTATTCAAATTAACATGTGTATATGTTATTGGTCAGGCATATATTAATAGTTAATTTGTATATTAACAAATGCTTTATTAACTCTGTTTCATCCTGTTTTGTGACTTAAAGTGAGGGCTATTAATGCTTTATAAACCTATTATAAAAGATCATTAAAGGCTGGATTATATTCTGAACAGGAAAAAAAAAGAAAATAAACAACTTTATGAATTTCTATTCATTTGAAGAGACACAAATGAAACTGTGTCAAATGAAAAATAAATCTTTGCAGTATTAACTAAAGTAAAATTTCAGTGCGGTTTAAATATCACCAAATACATTAAATGTTGTATCATAATATGTTGTTAAATTATTATGTTGTTTTATCCAATTTTATGTTCTATTTTAATATTCCTGTTATTCAGCAATGTTTAAATCTTACAGTCATTTGACTTTTTTTTTGTAGATAAGATTGCAAAGATTATTGTTCGTTTGAATTATTAAGCACATTTTTAATGTGCTTATGTCAAGAATAGAGCATTTGTATCTGCAGTTATAAACTGCTTACTAACGTCTATTATTGTGGAGTTAATGCTTAACAAATAATGAATTCACTATTTGCTAATGCTTAATAGATGATTCATAGTGTGTAGTTATTATAGTGTTATTAAAAATTATTTTATTTTTAACGTCAGTAAAAAATAAAGAGTTTTTTTCTTAAAACAAGTAAAAATAATCTTGTTTTTGTTTTGAAATGTAGACATCTGAACTAGAAACAGGATAAAAAAAATCTAAGTGAGAAAACCTTTGTTTTGCTTCATATAAATACAGTAAATACAATTCTGTAGCTCCTGGTCAACTATGATAAAGATACAAAATTGTATAACTTGCGATGTGACTTGCAGATTCACAAATTGCAATATTGAAACGATGTATTGTGCAGCCCTAGTAGACCATTTGTTTTCTACTGTAAACTATGGATTTGCAATCTGGAATCTAACTGAGTTGATGTCCTTGTGAGAAATGAATGTGTCAGTGTGTATTATTATGATATGGAGCCCATGGTGGATTTAAATATAGGTTCATTAAAGCATAATTTTTCTGCATTGTAGAGTTTTCTTTGACATTTTATTTGTATGCACATGTACAGTATAATGTAGTGTTTCTGTGATAACACAGTGTTTTGACGTTCAGACATGGAAATATGTGGGAAAGTTTCTCTTGGCACAACAAACTTTAATAATTGTTATGATTACACGCTTTTTCATCTTGACTGAATGTTGCAATGTTTTTTTTTTTATGTTATTACATTTTCTACTCTGATTATCCCTGTGGACTGGATAAATATATACATGGCTTTGTGTTGTAATTGTGCTTCTGTTATTAAATTTACAAATGTTTCACATTAGAATGCTAAAGGTCCTGCATGTTGATGAGAATTGTTAGCGAAAGTGTCGTTTTTATCATTATTATTTCATTGTGTGTAGTTGGTGCAAACACAAAATGATCTCATCCTATAGATCTTCAAAAAACAAAACAAAAATGTATATAAATACATTAATAAAACACTATGCATGCCAGGGCAGTTGGGAATGTCAATTGGTAAAAAAAAAAAAAACACTGGCTTGCATGTGTATTCGATCCTGCAGTCCACCAGTGATGTTTTGGTTAGGAAGTACTTACTTATGTCTGTGCATTAGTATGACAACACATTTTATTAATGACAGAGTCTTGCATTATGAGAACCCATTACAAAACTGCACTTGCACTTTAAAACCCTTTTTAGGCTCCAAAATGTTGTAGTCTTGTATGTAAATGTCCAAAAAATAATAATAATTATAAAATTTAAAAAAAAACATCAACAGTTGTACATTTTCTGTTTCCATAAACCATCAAAGTCAATTGAAGGACATGGCGTTTTGGTGCTTTTATTTTGTGAATGGAGAAAATGTGTGCTTTTACAGATCTAACTAAAGAAGTCAAATGTGAAGTTTTCGACATTGCCTATTATCGGATTTCTGTCATGTCATACAAACTGTTGCCTTGTTCAACCTTCAAGAATGGCAACTGCTATAAAAGTCATGTTTTGTGATAACATAGCAAACCTCCTCGTTTCCTTCATAACCAAATGAGCTTTTTATATAGCCTTCAAAAATATTTGATGTAATGTTTTGTGTGATAAGCATGGTTTTTAACAACAATAAAACATTGGTTTATAGATAAGAGCCCAGTAACCACCAATTAGCCATCATTTTGTTCCACTGTAAAACTGTAGTTATACGAATATTAATCACTAGTCTCTCACATTCCTGGGTTTATTCCTGCTTTTATCCAGGGGCTACCAGATCAGAGTGAACCGCCAATTTCTCTGGTAATTTTCTTTAACAAGATGTTTTTATAGTTGTGAATCTTTCGTGTATGAAAATTACCGTATAGGGTAAGTAGTTCACCTTAACGAAACCCCAATCTTACCTTCGCAGAACGGGTTAAGCTTTCCAATCTCTTCACTGCATCACCTTTAACTGCGCCATGGCAAGCGTCTCAGAGTTGAACTCAAACTGATTACTGGATGACGCAGACTTTCCCCAAGAGTACAAACTCGGTGGGCGCTGTTTAAACGATGACGTGTAGCGGTAAAAACTCTTGTGGCGGTTTTTAAGATACTCCCGATAATTCTTAGTGAGGAGCGTGTACAGAAACGGGTTGATGCAGCTGTTGCTGTAGGTCAGACTCGCCACAAGGTAATTGATGCTCGTGTGTGTGTGTGAGGCTAGACTGAAGGGCTTGTGGTACAGAGGCACAAGTTGCCATATCCAAAAGGGCAAAAAGCACGCCCAAAACACGAGCACAATGGTGAAAATCATTATTAAAACTTTCTGTTTCGGCGAGCGCTTGCTGCCTTTAACAGCTGGCGTCTTTTGGGACTCAAGGTACGTCCTGGCCAGTCTGGTGTACAAGTAACCAATGACAAGCCCTGGCGCCATTATGCTCGTGCAGAACAGGACAGTCAGGTACAATTTATACGCCTGGGGTGCCCAGGTGGGCGCGCACATCCTCTTCACCCCTCCGTCTGCTGTTGTTTTAGTAGTCTGATTAACCATAATCATCATGGGCAGAGTTAAAACGAGGGACAAAATCCAAACGCCCCACGCCATGGCTTTTCGGTAGCTTTTGGAGCGTTTAACAGTATCCAGCGGTTTAGTCACTGCCAGGTAGCGCTCCATGCACATCACCGTCAGAGTAAAGATACTCGCGTGCATAGTTAACAGGTCCAGGCTCAACAGTATCCTGCAGCCCACGTCCCCGAAGTACCAGTCCTTTAGAAAGTACGTACACACCACGAAAGGGATCGTGGAGAGGTAAAGGAGATCCGCGAGCGCCAGGTTGATGATGGATATGTACATGGAAGTGGCGAAGCGGATGGAGTGGCACATGACTACCAGCGTGTAGACGTTTCCCGACACTCCAACGATGTAAACCACCGACAGCAGCGTCCCGAAAGTCGATGTGATCACGAGCTCGTCCACCGAACCAGAGTTGCTGCGGGACGGACCGCTAGACTTGTTGTAATTCATTGCGCTCGCGGTGAATGTGGAGCTCTGCGCGGTAACTTTGTGCCAGGTGCGCGAGACCCCACACACTGTGTTTGGACACTTGACAAATGTGTCTGAGCGCTCTCGCCCGCCGGTGTCCGCAGCTCCTGACGTCAAACTGATGCTCTGCACCTGCCTTTATCACACTATCGAAGAAAGTTTAGAGACAACGTGAATTTGTTTAGCTAGTCTTGTACTGTCTTTTTACTAGTTTGTAGCTTTAATCAAACATTTAATGATTCAGGTAAAAAAAAAAATATACGAAGCAGATATTTTGAAAATGAATGAAAACGCTTAACCAATTTTGTTAGATGTTATTCAAGTACGTTGCATTATATGACGCATTTTATGAGCTACTTTACGCACAGACGTATTTTGAAACGACTCCGAGAAATAGGTTATTTGGACATATTTTTCTCCTCTGCATCAGCGTGTGGCAAATGACATTAGCAGTTTATCATCACGCTGTGTCTGACCTTGGTTTATTCCTACATCTGCAATACACTCAAAAACCTGTCCTGTGGCTGGAGATATATAGGGAGCCTGTACACTAGACACTGGCTAATAAAATAAAATATTTAAGAGAAAATTAACATATTTTATTTATTCATTTGCAGAAACACTAAAATACGGTTGCTGTGTGCTGTATTAATAAGAGTATGTCTTTTAATAGACTAGGGAGTTTTTTTTTTTTTTTAATTCTCTTATTTTGTCCTGATAATACAGGCCGTATTGTACATCAAGTTCAAATTGAATGACTAGTCACATGTGGAGAGTCTTAAAGGTAATCATTCCAAAACTGTACATTAATGGCTTAAAAAAAGTGACTTCAACATCCATATAATCTTTTCATTCCAAAAAAAGAAAAAAGGTTCTTCAAAATGGAATAGGTCCTTTAGATTTTGAAGCGCTCTTGAAAATAATTATTGTCACTGAAGGTGCTTTAGAAAACTGAAAAGCCTTTTGATACCTTTTAAAGTTGCTGTATGTAAGTTTTTGACTCTTCTAAAGCATAAAAATACCATAATATGTTTGCAGATAATTAAGAAATGTGCAAAGTGAACATACTTGTTTATCTGAAAAACAATGCTGAAGTCAGATATTTTGCAACCTCCTGTGACAGTAGCAGACCCCAAAATTGGATGCAGATTCAGAGTTCCACATGAGGTTAATAATTATAAATGATATAAATATTATGAGCGTAAACATTAGGTGAGTAGGTTACATTTTAACCACGCTGAGATACGCAGTGATGCGCAATTTGGCTGTTTGCACCAAACGAAAGATGACAGCAATTTAAATACAGCCATTCAGAATCAAAGAATATACACTGACTCATGAAAGTATGGTAAGGTTTATAATTTATTTAATACATATTAACCCTCTTTAATATTATTATATTATATTATTAATTTAATATATTATATTATAAATGTACACACTGAATCACTCATGCGTTTTGTTCTAAAGTACAGTTTTAAACAGTTATTTTATTTTCAAGATTTGAGGTAAACTGTCTGCTGCTGCTTTCAGTATATGGCAATAAATTTAATGTAAAATGGCATTTAAACTCACATTGTTAGCATTTAACACCGAATAAAGCACATGAGGTTTACTTGAGGTGATCATTGTTGATTTTCTGTTGTTCAGCTGTGACAAATAGAATCTTCTTCTTAAATATATATTAATTTGAGGTCTTGGTTTGGACAAAAACTAATTAATTATAGTAAAAATATTCCTTCTATCGGGTGTCGTTTCTTTACAATATGGTTTAAATCACTTGCTGCTGTCCTCAATCTGGCAACCTGCGCTTGCATTTGTTTTGATTCAGGAATGCCTAGTTCAACCACTCGGTGTCAAACTTACATACTGCACTTTTAAGAATTAAGGTTCTAGAAGTTTTTTTCTTTTTTTTCTCTCTTTTATTGGTTTATTTTATTGATTTATTTATAATTTTTTTGAGGTAATGTTTAGTTCTTCAAAAGATCTTTCAATGTATTTTCATAGAGCAAGGGCATTTTGCACTATAAAGCATGTATTGGGCAATGGAAAGATTTATTTGATGTTGAAAGTTTGACGCAAATATATAAATTTTATATATATTCATAAATTATAAATTATATATTCATTTACTGTACATGTTCCAGAAAGTTTCAACACCCTGATATAGCCTACTCACAATTAAGTTTTCAATTTTTTATTATTAGAAGGTACAAAGAAGTTAGAAATGCCTTTGTGTTGAGGTGTACAGACTCTATAAATCGGGCTACATGAGACTATAGTTTGTATAGTTTCTTTAAATGACACACTGAAATACAGAAATGAATGGCTCTTTCAGCATTTACTTGAGGCTGTATAAACATTCTTTCATGTGTCAACAGAAGAAAGGCTCCTGGGAGCACAGTTAAACCTTACATCCCTTTGACTTTCCCAGGAAAAACGTTCCGAGCCCTTCACATAAGAAAAATCATTCTGTAGGCTTTCATAGACACCCTAGGAAGTTGAGAATGGTCTTGTTTTTTCTTTTGCTTTTTAGGTTTTATGACAAGTTGTTCACACATTGGTAACAAAACAGCAGTCAATGTATGAACCCTAATTGATCATATTGCACCTTTAAGTAATCCAAATCCTCCATTACAAATCAGTCGTAATTTTGTTACCTTAATTTTACTGTAATTTAAAACTTTTAGAAACCTCTAAACCTATAAAACAGTTATAAGTGCATTTACTGTTATGTGAAATCAATTACTCATTTACTTTATAGAGACAATGTTAATATCCATTTATGTCATATTTAGCCTCTGTGAGGCACTGCAGTTATTTCCCCAGTGGTTTGGAGATGTTTTTGTGCTATGGTTAAGCATGGATTTATATCTTGCCAGTCCCCATATTTTGATATGGCAGTGTACAACTTTTGTCAATACATGTTGTTTTTGATGTGGTCTGTGAATACATTTCACATTTACTTTTATAAAGCAGTCCTATATTGCAAAACATCTCAAGAGGCTCTAAAGTAAATTCCAAAGTTAGTGATTTTTCTGTGAAAGCACCACGTTGTCTGCAATATAATGTGCTTTTTATTTGTGAAAGAAGCCATCAATGATCTAAGTACACCCTTACACTGGAATAAAAAGCAGCGCCACATGAAGCAAAGAATGTTGTTATATACAGTAAGTACACCGTGTGCATGAAGTTGAGAGTTCTTTGGGTTTCCGAGACCGAGAGCACATGATTGGCGGGGCGGAACTGTAGCATAACAGTGGGAGCTGAATACTAATCATGCTTTAGTAAAGCTACTGAAGAGGAACTCTTTCAGTGGGCAAATTCTGCTACATGAGGCACAGGGGGTTGTTTGTGTGTTTACGTGCTTTGCAAAGTTCGACACTTCCTGTAACCGTTTGTGGTGTTTTGATTAGTTGCATGACAGAAGACATTTTCCTCTCTCCTGCTGTGAAAAACATTGTTTTCAGGTGCGTTAATGGGGAGCTGTCCGTGGTGCTGTTCTGGATAGTGAGCAGCTTTTGATGAAGTCGGCATGAAATTGAAGTTGCGATAGTCTTTTGTTTCCTACTGTGATGTACATCTGAGTGAAACGGCTTCTTGAACATGAAAAAAATGTAGGGCGGGACATCATTTATTTTATTAACTTTGGGAAAATGGATTGTTATCATTTGCTGGTTCCTGTAGCAAAAGTTCCATTGATTTTGGAATGGATTTTGAAAACCATTAAAGAAAAATCTGTGGGGTTTTTAATCAATGTAAATTATGCTTAACAGCTCAATTCATGATGAAAAATAAATTATGTTGTACAGAAATTCTCACTGTTAATTAAAAAAAATTACCGAACTATAACAGTTTAATCACAGCAAATTAGCTTGTGGCGAATGTCTAGAAGTAAACGCTTTAAGTTGGTGGAATTGATTTGTTTTAGCAATATTTTTGGAATTTTTAAAGTCATCTGTGGGAGTTATTAATGTGATTTGTGAATTCATGGTGAAAACTTCATTTCCCATGTTGCTGTTCAGAACAATCCACCAATCAGACAATCGCAGTGAGTCAGACCAAAATAAGCACTGATTTATAAATGCAGTGAATAACAAAATCAATTTGACTGGTTGTTACATGTAATCAACTACTTTTCAATTTTTTAAATAATAATACTTAAAAAAAAAACTGTTAATTTATTTTTTTATATATTTTTACAAAGTAAAAAAATATATATAATTGTCACTAGAAATCAGTTTCCTTTTATAAATACAAGTATAATTTCCTCTTATAATAATTTTTACAGCAAAACGAATAAAAACTCAATTTACTATAAAAAGATGTTTCGACAAATGTGGCACTGTGGAATAATTTAAATTGTTACGTCAATAAAAGATAAACAAATGCTTCATATTTGTTTATTTGTGTTTGTGTCTTGTTTAAACCTGTATTATTTATAGTAGTAATAATAGTAGTACCCATCAGATATTTTATTATAGCCTCAAGAATCTGCCCATTTTGCTGTCAAAATACATTGTAGCTCTTTTTGTAAATCGTGGCTTTAAACCCAAATGAGCTGCTTTTCCCCGCCCATCGTTCCCCCGTGCATGCCTGCTTCTCATGTGTTATGTCAGATAAAGAGTCAGTGACCGAGACAAACTCAGTTGAAGCTCAAATACAGCTCTTTAGTCAAAATACAAATTTAGTTTATTTAATGTATTTGCAGTGAAGTTTATTCAAGCCTTTCTGATAGGATGAGTCTCACAAAAATGCCGTTTGCAGCACACACACACACACACACACTTAAACTAGATATACGCATTTACATCATATGGCCGTGGTGATTATTGCGGTTAAGAGATACATAGCGATTTTACCATCTTTATTGTTTTAAACATTTTAAAGTTATAAAACCTTAAAAAAAACTTATGAAACCTTTAAAAACAGTGTTGTAACAAATATTTTATTCCCAGTTTATTTGCAAAAAAAAATTCTGTGGACGTGTACACGTTATTATAGAAACATGGCACCTGTCAATCAATTTGGTGGGCGAGGAAACTTGCACTCTTACATCACGTTGTGGTGGGCCTCAAAATCACATTTGTATCCTATTTTACCATCAGGAAATGTAAAAAAAAAAAGTAAATAAAGAGAATTGTTGTGTTTCTATCACCCCAATATGACAGTGGACACACTATACATACAGACAGTTCTGTCCACACAGTTTACAAAAGTTGATTTTCATCAGAGGTGCTCTTTAAAATGGCTTTTTCAGAAATGGCTCTGTTATAAAAGGTTCTGGACCCCTAATTTACATTATAGTTTACTTTATAGTTTTATGGTTTTTATAGTACATTCTAATTATTTCCATTAGGTTCAAACAAAAGCTTTTTTTGGAATTTCTGTGACAAATTAATATTAAAAGAAATTGCTGTAATTGAATTCTGTTGCTGTGATCTAATGTGAGTGACAGGTTGAACTGCTCTTGCGCCAGTCAATGTCATCATACAAGACAAGAAAGAGGGAGGTTATTTTGATAAAAGGTTACGAGGGC